CACCATCTTTAAGGCAATTCTCCCCAGAAGCTCCCACCAGGTGTTTCTAATCTCCTCCTTTCCTCACCATGCACTTTATGTGCACACATTTGAATTAATGAAAAATGAATCAAAGCATCTGCATTGAGCAGGGCACGAGTGAGAGGACTGGGAGTGGGGAGAGAAGGGCAGGTGTGGAGCAAGACTGCAGTGCCTCCCCATCCAAGGGGACAGAGAGTGAGTGGTGACTTGAACATCAGTTATTCAGCAGTGTGGCTTCCTCCTGAATCTGTAATTCACTCAGTCTTGTGTGGGAATTCCCACAGGACACATTTTGGAAGGGTTAGTGAACAAGTGTGAGCAGCTGTACGTGCTCACTTTGAAAGATTATCCTTTCCTCTCCAGGACTTTACACATATTTAGATTTAACTTTATCTCATCATCAACTTTCTGCTATACAGGCATCCCTCTCTGGCTTTAAAATAACCATTGGCTGTTACATAAACACTGGGTTGATTTTTTGCAAGCAATTTAACTTGTTTCCCCCCACTTTTCCCCTACCTTTTGGACACAAGGGAGTTACCCCCTATGTGCAGCTTCCCAGCAGGTGCCTGGCCCCATCTGTTTGCAAACCCACATTCACAAAATCCAGCCCACATGCACTCAGCATTGCTCCAGCCAACACCTCATGCAGTCTCTATGCTGAGTATTGCTTCCAGCTGCTCCCCCTTCCCTTCAGCTGAGGCACAGCCTTTTTTCTGCCCTTCACAAGGAGCTCTTGGTGCAAACCGGCTCATCAACCAATTACTCTTGCTGCTGGTTGCCCCTGAGTAGCTGTGTTGCCAAACTGACAGGCAGCTATTGCTCATCCAAAGCATGTCTCTCAGATAGCCATCAGAGACCTCCAAATGAAGTTTCTCCACCCAGTACTCAATGCCAGATGAAGGGTTGGGCGTTTTATCTTCCCGTTTTTCAAGGACCTACTCAGGACCACAAGTGACCTTCAGCTGTGACAGTGCCACAATAATGGCAGCATTTGGAACTGCACACATCTTAAAAGCAAGGAAAGAAGACTTAAAATTGACTTGATTTTTTCACACTGCTGTAATCACACACGTATCTCAACAACAAAATATCAAACGCTAGACGTTTTGAACAGTACAGACTATTTCTCTTGGAAGGGACCTTCAACAACCATCTAGTTCAAGTTCAGTTCAGAGCAGATGTCTGATTGGGTGCTTCCTTTTTTTCCTTTAAAGCCACTTGAACAAAAATTACAGCACTGTGCTCTCTACTACACTCTGATCTTTCAAATACTTCACAGCCAAGCCCAAGAACACTGCAATTCCCATCACCATGTGCTGTGCCCACAGCAGACTGAATTTCATACAATCATGGAATAGTTTGAGTTGGAAGGGACCTTAAAGATCATCTAATTCCAATCCCCAGATATGGGCAAGGACACCTTCCACAAGACCAGGTTGCTCAAGGCTCCATCCAGCCTGGCCTTGAACACTTTCAGGGATGGGACATCCACAGCTTCTCTAGGCAACCCATTCCAGTGCCTCACCACCCACACAGTAAAGAATTTCTTCTTAAAATCTAATCTAAACCTGCTTTCTGTCATTCTCCTTTGTCCTATCATGCCATAGCCTTGTCAAAAGCCCCTCTCCAGCCCTCCTGGAGACCCTTTAGGTAATGGAAGGTGCTGTAACATCTCCCCAGAGCCTTTTCTAGGTTGAACAACCCCAGCTCTCAGCCTGTCTCCATAGCAGAGGTTCTCCAGCCCTTGGAGCCTCTTTGTGACTTCTTTTAGAACTTGCTCCAACAGCTCCATGTCCTTCTTATGTTGGGGGATGCCAGGGCTGGATCCCACTGAGATCCAGGTGGGAACTCAGCTGAGAGGAGTAGAGGAGAAGAATCAAATTGGGCTGTACATTGTATTTGTGGACTTAAAACCAGCATTTTATAGGAACTGTGGTAGGTGAGAGCCTGGCAGAAGACAAGCCCAGACACAGTGTTCCACATTTAATCCAATAGCTGCAGGTGTTGGGGGGCACAAAAAGAGATGTTTCACCCCTAATGCCTCATGGCCCCCAGGAATCCCAGACCTTTGGGACAGGTACGGGTGTAGCAGGGCACTGGGACCATCCTGCCCGGAAGTCCAGGATGTAACATGAGATAACCATCACATAATTACTGTAATCCTGGGAACCTGTCCTGATTTACTCACAGGCAGTGTCTGGGCTGCACTCGCTGCAATTCCCCGTAACAGTGGAGGATTTGCTGCACACCAGGGTTTGAGCTCCTGATGAAGGAATGACCCAAGGCCAGCCTGGGAGCAGCATGGTCTGTTGGTCTTCAATTTGTACATAGACCAGTACCACTCTGCACGAACAAGGAGACTGGGTCCCAGTGGCTGCCTGCCCCCATGAGAAAGATCTTCCTTCCTGAGGAATAATCACATGAAAATTCTCAAATTTTAAACCAAATTCTAAGCAGGAGTCATCCTGTCTCCCTCACACACATCTATCATTCCATTTAATTTTTACTATTTTTTCTTCTGCAAAATATACAATAAGGCAAAAAAGTTATAGAAAGAGGTTTTTCTAAAGAGACCAATGCTGTGTCATTTCCTAGACTGCATTCTTTTCTTTCTCTGTCCTATTTCAGAGAAAGCCACTTTCTTATCCCTGCTGCTGCCAACCTCCTACTTACAAGAGAATGAATCCAAAATAAACTCATTAATTCCAGTGAAGATACATTGTAATTATTTCAATATAACTCCAAGAATATTTTTTTCCTGATACTCCTTAACCACTGCACGGATTCCTGTTATGCACTCAGATTTCAGTTCCAGTCTGTGCCCAGCACTCTTAGTAGCCCAATTAATAAAAAAAAAACCTTAGTTATACTAGAATTTAAAGAAGAAACAAAGGCCTTGTCTCAGTTAACAGTTGGTCTTCACCTGAAAGAAAGAAAGTGTAAGGCTTTTCTTTCCTTCAATTTTTTGATTTAAAAAGAGGCATTCATTAATTCATAAAAAAAAAAAAAAAGAAAAAGAAAAAGAAGAAATCCCAAACCACCAAATTAAAACAAAGAAATAAGATTCTCTATAACAGCCTTAGATTTCAGCTTTATTTCCTAGCTCATGGCAGTGTGATGTGGGGAGATGCAGGCAACTGGACCAGGCTCACGTGAGGATAGTGAAAGAAACATTGTTTTTGGGGGGGTAAGTTCTACATTTCTGTAACCTCATTTTAAAAGCATAACTATAAAATGGAAACATTTCCATAATAATCATATTCCCAACTAGGAGGATGTTAATTAAAGGCATTAATTTCTTGGCTTTAACCTTTATCATGAAAATACATTTTTAAAATATCAAAGGTAATAATCCACATGACCATTCAATCTAATATATTCAATTTACACCATTCTTAAATTTCCTAATTTGAATATTTGAAGAATATTCAAACATGTTATTAATTCCTGTGTTGGCACAGGGCTCTGAAGTCCCCATTTAGTTCTCTTCTGTAAAAGATTAGGTGCTGAAATTTGTCCCACTTTTTATTTATAAGCACAATGCACTGCAAAGCACACAGGATAGCAGCAACAGCTGCATTTCAGCCACATGTGATCCCTGTGGAAATTGGAATTGCTCAGAAGGACATGTACCAACACAAAAAGAGGATTTTTTCTTCCTAATTACCCACCCGCATGCGGGAAGGCAGGGTGTGTATATCAGTACATCTCTGAAGGTTGGAGGAGAGGTAATACCCAGGATTAAAACTGTTACAGACACGTTATTTCTTGCCATACAATGTGGAAATATCAAAGTTCACACCCTGTTTTTTTGGAAGATCAAACCGAGTGGATGGCAGAACCTGCCTGGCTAAAAAGAGCCAGTTTGGGATTCATGCTCACTCACATGCTCACTGCGCTGAAGAACTTGAACTGCTTTTTGAACACCAATTTTTAATTCTTCCAAATTATGTTTAGACTATCACCTTACAAAACCAGCAATTGCAAGGACACTGCACCACAGTAAGGATGAGGAAAGTGGAAACATCCCTCTGAACAAGTCACCACATTGAGGATGAGGAAGATGGAAACATCCCTCTGAATGAGTGGTGGGTGTTTTGGGACATGCCCTCAAAGCTTATTCCCATGCTCCATTTCCAGCCCTGCTCCTCCCAAATCCCACCCAAAGCCTGGGGACAGCTGAGCATCACACAGCATTTCTGCATTGCACATTTCCCCTGTCTCAGAGTGTTTTATTTCCTCTTCTTCCCCCAGCTCAGGACAGAAGACCAGGGAGCAAGAGCATGTGATCAATGGCCTCTTGCCTCAAAATCTGTAAGCTTATGTCACTGAGGCCTTGGTGCAAGAAAAGGTTGTCCCCAAAAGAATGTGGAGCCTGACTGACCACCTCAGTGTGTCCCCAGAGCCACTGTTAGTCCTCTTGTTTTGCTTTCATCTTGGTGGCACACGTGATGAGCAGCTAAATGCTCAGCTTTGGCTGGTTCATCTGTCACCTATGTCCATTCCCCACACTTTCCCTAAGATCTTGAGGGGGAAGGTGAGCTTTAGTCCATAACACAAGGCTGTGCAGAGAAGTCCACATCCATGGAAGTGCTGGGTGTGGTGGTGGGAACTCTCTGCAGCTCTCCTGAAAGCACAGTCTCCCCACCTCGTTGTGACATGTCTCTCAAATATCTAAGAGCTTAGGTTGAGTGGGATGCCCACATGCGAACATTAGTGCTGATCCCTGTTTGAAACCATACTCCTGTCCCAGCCTGCTCTCACAATCTTGCCAGCTTTGCAGGAACACTGTGTCATACAGCCAGAATTCTAAGGAAGGGCCCCCAATGGTGTCTGGGTTGAAGCTGCGGGATGGAGTTGCTCTGATGTGTCCAATTCTCCCAGGAAATGAAGGGACTTCTTTATTATTGTTTTTAGTCTAGGTTATCTGTAGGGTTCTCTTGCCCTCCTCTTTCCCTTCCCACCCCACTGAACCTTCACTGGCTGGACAGGTCATGCTGCCAGGTCCCTTTTGTCTTCAGAGCTGTAGCAGCCCTCTGGTGCTTCTGCATCTCGATATACAGCTGGAAGTCTTTAAGGTCTTGGATAAACTGCTGTATCTAGGGTGGAAAAGAGAGATGGCAGAGCTCAGGGCAGGGATGGGAACAGGACTCACAGGGGGGGGTTGTTGGCTCTTTCAGATGGCAAATGTCACCTATCAAACTGAGCAGCAAAAAAAGGTATTTGCCTTGCTTGGTCTGCACCGCCAGAATGGACTTTTGTGGGTGAGCTTGAATTCAGGGCAAGGGTGAATAAAACCAATGCTGGCCATGGCTTGGTCTGCATCCTCTGCCTCAGCCTGCCTGGTTCCCACTCCTTCTGCCAGGCAAGGACCCTGCCCTACATCCTCAGAAGAGTCAGGCTTGCCTGGTGTGCCCTGCCCCTGCGCCATGCCTGAGAGAGAGCCCCTCTCTCAGGAAAAGGAAGGTGTCTGTAGGGTCTGGGGGCTCTCCCCTCCCTTGGGGCAGTGGAGGCTCCTTACTGCTCCTCCTTCTGCCTTGGCTTTACCATGCTGAGCTGTATGCAGCTGGTACACTCCAACGCACTCCCCTGTGCTTGCAGCCGCAGGTTGGCAGACTGGAAGAGGTTGTGGATGGCCAGCTTGATAGTCCACAACTTCCTGGTTTTCTTGGAGGTCCTGTCCTGGATGTCAGCCCAGCGAGCCTCCTGGAAGGAGAGGGCACAGGCAGCATGGGGTCATGCCGTAGCAAGGTCATGCTTCAGCACCAGAGACCCTGGCTTGGAGACCCTAAGTTCTATACTCCAGACTGGTCTGCCATTTTTCCTTCTCCAACCCCATGGAGAGGGATGAAATTAGGAATCTCTTCCAATCCCAGAGTGTGGCAGTGTTCCTCACTTGGGGTCACCAAATGTGGTGTTCACAGGGGTCCCAGGACGAGGAAAGAGATGAGAATCTTGACTCCATGTTTCAGAAGGCTGATTTATTATTTTATCATATATATTATATGAAAAGGATATGTTAAAATTATACTAAAAGAATAGAGCGAGGATTTCATCAGAATGCTAGAAAGGAATAGAAAAGAATGATAATAAAATCTTGTGACTGCTTGCAGCCTCGGCACAGGTGGCTGTCATTGGTCATCAAGTAAAAACAATTTCACATGCTGGGTAAACAATTCTCCAAATCACATTCCAAAGCAGCAAAATATGGGGAAGCTGAAGCTTCTCAGCTTCTCAGGAGAAAAGATCCTAATGAAAGGATTTGTCATAAAATATGTCCGTGATACCAGAGACTGTTACTGGACTCTGCTGTGACCCCATCGCTGAAGGATGAGCCATCAGCCAGTCTTGACAGAGCCAGGCTTGGAGATCTCCCCCTGCCCACCCCACAATTCCTTACCCAGAGGGGGATGTCACTTTGAGCCTGATAAACACGTAGTTTGAGCTGCCCCAGCTCATTTTGGTACTGAAGCATCTCAGCTTCTTTCTGTGCTTTGTACTGCTCCAGGAACACCTTGTCTTGCTCAGTCAGCTGCTTGTGCCCCTGTTGTGACTGCAGAAGGTCCTTCCGCGTCCTCACCAGCAACACATACTCTGAAATGACTTCTGAGATGTCCTCAAACTGCAGCACAGGGTTCCTGGTGTTAGTGACGCTCTCAGCTTGCAGCTCTCATGTCATTTGGCACCCTGCCTTTACCTGTGCCAATGCCTCTCCCTCCTGAAAGATCTCCCATCTTCCCCAGCCCTAACTCTTCTGGGATTCTGTCCTTACCAGTTGGTTTGTTGGGCATTGCTGCATTCCTGGTGTGGTGGGCTCCCACTGTGCCACACCACAACTGTCACTGCCACAGCAAGGGGATGTGCTGCACCTTTTCCCAGGTGAGCAGTGCTCTGATAAACCACAAAGAACAACTGCAGTGTCCATAGCCACATCCCCAGGACTTGGGAGGCCTCAGCTGGGGTGGTTGGCATGTGAGTGATGTCCTGACATCCTCAAGAGAGAGCACAGCTTTTTGGCAACTGTCTGGGGACACTTTCTGGGCAGCTTTTCCTTTCTCCCAAACAATTCATCTGACCTTAAGCAGTGACAGGAGGGTGTCCCCATTCCCCTCAGCCTTAAGCTTTCCCCCCTTCTCATGGCTTTTCTTTGCTTTTCTCAATCTTCCACTTGCTGTTCTGACTCTCCTACTGTAACTCTGCTCCCTGTGGCTCACCTTGGTTGCAGGCTGGTTTTTCCATCCCATCTGAGGTCTCTGGGTTTGAGCAAGTGTCCAATGTCCTGGACTTACCCTACCGTCTCTAGTTTTGGCATTTATCTAAGTCTCTCCCCAAGGCTGTGATCTGTCTCACTTATGTTCAAACTCACCTGTGAGACTTCCACCACATCCTCCAGATATTTCTTGAAGATGGAGTACTTCTGCACTTTTTTGCAGAGTTTACGGTGTCTTTTTCTGAGGGTTTCCAGTTCCATCTTGGCTCTCAAAAGCTCACCATCCATTTTTAGGTTCTCCTCTCTCTGTTTTCTGTCTGTCTTCAGAGCCTGGATTCGTAACTCTTCACATTTCTGGTGGTTTCCCCCAGCCCCACACATGCACATACAGAGGGAGGGAAAGGAAAGCAGGGTAAGATGGAGCTGGATTACTCACCAGCAGTGGTAGGACATATCTTCAGGGAGGAGAGGCCAGCTCTGGACCACCCTGTGAACACTTCCTCTCCCTGTTTCACAGGGCCATCCCTCTTGCATTGACCCTTTGGTTCTGGAGACCGGTACCCAGGATGGCAGACTGACTTTCAGACCTGCTTGTATCTGCACCCTGGAGACATCTGGATGTCAGCAGTGGGGACAAGGCTTACACCCTTCCTGGGGAACATTTGGGGCTGGCAGGAGATCTCACTGGTACAGTACAAGCTCTTTTCCACCCAAGATTTCTCAGGCCTTCCCATATCCGTGGTACAAAACCTTGTGCCCTGCCAGTCCTGTTCTTCTCAACAGGAGTGCAGCCCAAAACCCTCTTCCCCAGGGGAGGGGAGGGGTTGCAGTGCAGCTCAAGGATCTGGTGTTACCTGCACAGCGCTTCCAGATCTCTCCACATGGGCTTTCAGCTGGGCCCTCCTGGCATGCAGGTCCCTCCAGCGGTCAGCAATGACTTTCATCCTCTGCCTGAAGGCCTGGCAGCACCACAGTGAGGGTGACATGCACCCAAAATCTGCCACCTGCCTCCCAAAAACTCCAAAAAACCACAAACCATCCCAGCCATGCACCAGTACCCACCCATCTTTCTCACCTCTTCTTTCTCTGCCATGACCTTTTCCATCTCTCGGACTTCTTTCTTTTTCCTTAAGAGCTGCATAAGTGAAGACTGGGAGTCCTCCTCTGTCACTCTGGGTTCCCTGCAGGAGGAGTTTTCCTCGAGGTTACACACTGACTCGAGTTCCTTGGCAGGGTGGATTGCTTGGATCCTTGGATTGCTCTGGATGTTGGACGGTGTCCCGGGTAGGGTGATGGGGCAGAACCCCCCAGCACCATCTCAGATCCCATCTGGCAGCACAGCATCCCCTCCCCACCCCAGCAGCATCCCAAGGCAGAGCAAGGGGGTGTTACAGGGAGGAACAGAGCTGGGGAAGGGGGTACAAGAGGAGGCAGAAGTGATAGACATAAGGCATGGGGGTTTCCCATGGTGAGGGACAGAGGCATGGAGAAGGCAGCAGAAGAGGATGCAAGCTGGAGGAAGAGCCCCCTCACCTGAGGAAGGATGGGAGTTTCACCTTGCACATCCTGAGGAAAAGGGCTGACATCTCCTTTTTGCTCCAGGTCTCCATTGCTCCAGCCAGCAGCAGGAAACAGAGCCCAGGTGCTGCCAGCACTGCTTCTCTGCCAGCTCAGCTCAGGGGCTGCCCCTCAGCCCTGTGGCTCAGTGTGGGAGGCACCAGGCAGGAATGAGCCTGGGAGCCTCTGGCCTCTGCTTTCCTGGGACCTTCCTTGGCCTCTGCAGCCCTGAGGCTACTCCAGCCCTGGAGAGAGGCCCTGTGGCTACTCCAGCCTCTGGGAATGTTTACTTGGCAACTTCATAGTTGCTGGGCAACAGAATGTTCACTCAGAGTTAGGGGGACTGACCACCCTGTGCAGGACCAGGAGTTATTAAATTCCCTTCCTCACATCTCTTAGGGTTCTTCCGCTGCTATAATTTGAGCTCTGCTGGGTGTTTCAGTCCCCTGACAGCCACAATCCTCTGTCCCAGCCCTCAGGGCACAGGGCTTGCTCCTTCTCTCCCCAGCACCAGATGGAAACACCATCTACAGGCACATCCTTGGGGATGTTTGACCACTCTACTGCCATGGTGTAATGCCCTTCCCTCATAGCTCAGCTCACTGGGATGAGCTGCACAGCATTTTCCCTCTCCTAAGCAAAAAACATCCCCTGGGCCCTTCCTCTGTTGGGCCTGGCAGCTCCTGTGCATGGCTCTATAAACAGTGGCTACTCACTTCTTAAAACCAACAAATTTCTCCTGCCTGCTCCCTGTGGGGGTCTCAGCTGCTGAGGTAGTAGTCATTGGTTTCTCTGGGTCTGAATTGAAGGCACTTGAGACAGTAATTCATGTTCAGACTCAGGTGTTTATTATTTCTTATCAGTAAAACAGTCTCACAACTATGAGTTCTGCAGTTTTTCATTAGAAAGCACAAAATGACCAACAATCTCTTGTTACAAGGGCTTTTAAGACTAAACTATCCAATTAAGAATTGACACCTAGATTATTTTCCCTTTTAACCCAATAACTGATCCCACAGATCCCACAATGCAGACTTTCCTGCCCAATTACAAAATGCCACCCAAACCCAAGAAGAAGAAGGAAGAAGCAGCATGAAGAAGAAATTCAGGACAGTATCCTGTGCCCTCCATCTTGCTTCCATCCACAACACACTAAAAATCCCAAAACCTAAATTTCTCACCAAGTGATCCACCTACACTACTCTCTATAATCTATTTCACACTTTTGTGGATTCTAGGCCATCTTGAAGTTTAGGAAATTTTCTCCATGAATGGGTGTCAAAGTCAGTGCTCCCCTGGGGGTCAGGGCACCCCAGAGCAGACAGAGAAATACTCCCAGTGCCCTGGGTTTCCACAGCTCCCTAACGGGCTATTTAAATCCTCCTAATCAAGCAGGTCAAACTATCACTCCCTGAGGCTGGCTTTCAGTTTCCTACTTCCCTTCTTCCCCTTCCTGAAGCCCAGGCCTTCCTGCAGGAGGGTGCCCAAGCTTTGGTGTGTTGATGCCTGCCATGCATCGGGCACACTGATACAGCCAAATTAAACAGATTTAATGAGTCCCGCAAGTCCTAAAGTCCTGCAAAAGCACCAGGCCCATGTGCATGTGCTTCACTTTCAGAATCTAACAAGGAGAATGCCTCTTCCATTCAAAAGGACTTTTTTTTCTCCTGTTAGTTAGGATAAAAGCTCAACCTAGAAATGAGTTACAGAGATTGGGCTGGATAGTTGAAGGGCTGATAGTCAGATTGGAGGAGTTGCTTCAGCTGGGAGGAGCCTGGGAGGAACCAGCACAAACAGACTCTATCAGCCTGTCCTGCAAGCTCCTCTTGGAGGTTTTACTCTCACTCATCCCAGTGCAACATCTCTGCCTCCACCAAGATTTGCTCCAGTGACAGAAAAAGATGTGTTTGAGCAGAGAAGACATAGGAACAGCTGGGGACATCATCTGGACCCCAACACTCTCTGTTAGAAGTGCAGTTTCTAACCTTTTTTTGCACTAGGGTTGTGGACACTGGAAGAGGAAAATTCAGTCTTGGAAGTCTTCAGAAATATTATAGGCTAAAGACCACGCACCAGCATGTTGTGAAGGACGGGCTGTAGCTCCAGCCTCAGCAAGGATGACTGGTAGGAATGGTGGTGTCAAGAAACTCTGACCAGTGTCAGGTTTTGGGTTTTTTTTTAATTTAGAAGTCTATAAATCTTCTCTTCTGCCTCCAAAACACCACTTTTTTCTATCAAACCCTTGCAGGCAACCAGAAGAATTAAAAGGCATTGAAGAGACACAGAACATGACTGAGCTGCTGGTGTGGAGCCTGTGTGGTGCTGCAAACATTAAGGTCACTGCAGTGGGATGTCCCATGCCACCACTGGCTTTGCAAACTTCGCTAAACATCAGCTTTCAGTTTGCTGATTCCATCTGTCCCACACACTTTAGATCCAGAAACTTTCCCCTGAGTTAAAGAAACTGCCCTGTGCAGCACCCCAGGGCATCTTCAAAGGACAATTTGCAATCTAAGAAAAAACTTACTCCTTGTTAAAAGCAAGCAAGCAATATCCCACAAGCTGCCCACAGAACCTCAGCCTATTTTATTACCTTCCTAAGAATTTTGTCTGCTCTGGATAAATAGAAGCTCTCCTGACAAGTGGAAAGGTGTCTGGATGGAGAGAGCAGGTTGTTCCAGGGACCAGCTGGTCCCCAAGTCCTGGTTCTCTCTCCCATGCCCTCCAGCATCTCACTGGGAAACTTCCCCAGCTGGGACACAGTCTGCTCTGCCAGGGGCTGCAGGAGAAGCTGCTCGCTTGCAGGTGGAGGCATGTCAGGAGAACTGCCAGCAAGGCATTAAGCAATGACCAAGAAGCAAACAAGAGTGCAAAATGGCAACCAGCTGCAGCAGGAGCAGTGTAGAGGAGCCAGCTAATATCCTACATCTGCTGCATGTTGCAGCTACCCCAGCTCCTCCTCTGCCCACATCTCAGACCTCCATGGGGCTGTGGCTGGGATTTGGAAATCCAAGAGGTGGGAGTTTTGCCTTGGTTTGCTCTGGTGTGTTATCACAGGCCCCTGGGAATATTTGGCCACAAACAATGACCAGCTGCCCTCACCCAACCCAAATTGTGGCTGGCAGGCAGTGTGACAACACATCACCTGCAGTAGTTCTCACCATCACAGCCTCTTCCTATAGGGAGATACAATATAAGAAAATAAAGGCAGTATAGTAAGTAATCTTACCCCATTAAGGAGTTGCAGCTGAGCCAATTATTAGAGATTGGGAGCAGGCCTGATGTTAACAGGCCACAGCTGTAGCCAGTCAGAAGGGTGTTATAAAAGAGTGGATTGGTTGGTTGAAGGGGAACTGGAGTCAGTGGCTGCTGTGAGGGCAAGGAAGAGGCAGTGCCTGGAGGAGCTGCCTATGAGAAACATCAAGGAGGTATGAAATTCTGGTAATATGGAACCCTTGCAATGTACTGACAATAGAACTCTTGCAATATATATGATAACATCTTCCAGTAGCCAAAATCTCAGCACGGGCAGAGACAATGGATGGAAATCAAGCTTACACATTCCAGACACGTGGTCAAGCAGCCTGGGGCACCACACCATGGAGGAACAAGCACAGGGACAGACTGAGTGGCCACAACTCTGCTTTGCCCACAAGCCCATCTTGATGCTGTGATCTCCAAGGAGAACTAGTCTGAAATAGGGCAAACCAGGCCCTTCTCTGCTTTGAGCTCTACTAAAGAGCAGATTGAGCCTGATTCAGTTATTCCGGCCATCTCTTCCTCGCATCTTTTTTTGACACTTCTAGGGCAGAGGAGCCCATGGAATTACAGACTTGGTGTTGATCCTGCTTGGAGCTGGAAGTCAGAGTGAAAAACTCCAGAGATCCCTTCCAGCAGGTCCCCTAAATTATCCTACAATTCTGATAACTCCCCATTAGTCTTGCACCCCATAGTGCCACCCTTGGCAGGAAAAGCCCACCCCAGTGAGGACAGGGGCGCTTGGCAGCCCTTTCCACAGTCTGGGCATGTGAGGCAGGGCTTTCCTCTCAACCCCTGGTACTTCTGGAGTCTCATGAATTTTTATCAAACGCTAATGATTTAAATCCTTCTCACATATGTAGAAACCTTGCCATGAGTCTGAGCTTTTTGGAAGGGTTGTTTTGGGTTTTTTTAACTTTATAATAATTTTCATTTTACAAGTTCATAAATCAACTCTTCTTCCTTGCTCTGCTCTACACCTCCTGTCTGGGTGTGGCTCTAAACAAATGAGACCCTTGAATGAAAATTCACTTTTTTCTTTTATTTCTTTTTTCAAGACTTGCTCATGTCTCCTCAGCCTCAAATATTTCATGCAGGTTGTGCCATGTATTTCACAAGCTAAGCCAAGCAAAACACTGCCTTCCATATACACAGCAAAAAAATGTTTTTCAGGCTCAAAGCATTTCTGTCTTTGGCAGAATCTTTTCTCAAAGCATACCAAAGAAAAAGTATGGAAATGAAATACAAAGAGTGGTTAAAATAATATTTTGGGTAGAGATGAGCCCAAACCAAACCCCAGATTAGAAAGCCTGATACCCCCCTAGATACCATGCCTAAAATGAGGAGGTTTGTTGTGATACTTGGAGAACAACTGGAAAGCATTGCAGGTCTCCCAGCGAGTTTCATTTCCTAATTGAACTTATAAAAGACTTAACCCCTACCAGACCTCACAGCTAACACAGGTCCTTTTATATTTACACCATAGATGATATTTAGGCAGGCTGGCCCTGTGGGGATGGGCTGTGGGGAGGCAGATGGGGGTCTGGCATGGCAGAGAGGATCCACAAGGCAAAGGGGCTCTGCTGAACCTGGGCAGGGGACCCAAAGCTTCCCTGGATTTCAATGTGGTTATTTCTGCTATTTGGATCCAGCCCTCCACTGACGTGGGCACAAGCTGTGGTGTAATTTGGGGTTTCAGACCCAGCATTTAGGACTGGATCCAAAACTCGAATGGAAGAAATTTGGGAAAGAAGCTTTTAAGAGTTTAATTTGAAACAGAAAACTCATGAAACTA